TGCAGGGAAGAATGCCTCATTATCACGCGTGATGTAGGGCAGCATATAACACTGCTATTCTGATGAGTGGGGCACATTATACTTCCATGTGATTTCTGTGCGGTTGGTCTCTACGTGACATACTTAGTGGAGACCTCATAGAAAGCGGTGAGTGTGCAAAGCTGTGCTCAATGTGATTGAAATCTTGGTTTAGAGTTTCTTTGTTTGGTTATGGAGGCGTCTGGCCAAGTAGATTGCTGTCAACTTGACCTTTCCAGGCTCTGAGGAAGGCGAAATCCGCCGAAACGTCAGCTCATTTGTGAATAAAGAATAATAACACCTCGCGTTTGCTCAACAAAAATACGAAGAATTACTTGATCAATGCCGAGGTTAATAGAAAGTCGGTCGTGGGTGTTTGGCTTTACTTTAGATTTACCGACTAGGTGTTCTTCCATGCGGACGTAGAGCGGTCTACCCGTTTCGCCAACGTATTTGTCCCCGCACGCTTTACAAGAGATCAGATAGATATTTCTTAATATTTCTGCATTGTCCTTCGCCGTCGACAACTCTACATGAATTTTTCATCCTGCTTCTGTAGTGACCAGGTTTCTGACATATAAGTTAAGCCAGGAAGAATCGCGGAGTCGAAAAGGAGGACATGAACTCGCGTGTCCCTTCTACTCACTGAACTCTCGATGCTCTTGGAAGCTCCTGAAGCCTATCGCTTCATCCTGCTCAATCCTGGATGCTCAGTGGTTCACAATGTTGATTTCCTGGCATACACTAGCGTAGATAGTAGATTCGTAGATATTCATTCCGTTGAGCATTAATGGGACATACGAAACCAATCCGTTCCTCATGAACAACGTTTTTGTAAGATTTAGTGGAAGACCAGTCTTTCCACAGGCTTTATCAAAGTCGGCAAGCATACGTACCGCTTGGCTAATGTTTGGTGGCTAACGAGGACGATGTCATCAGCAAAACGAAAATGACTTAATTGCCCACCATCGATTTTCACTCCCATGTTGTTCCATTTCAATGTTCGCATGACGTTCTCGACGGTGGTGATAAGCAATTTTGGGAGAGTGGCGGTTAGTAGTTTTGGCGAGATCGAATTGCTTTGACTAAACACTCTTTTGAAGTCGATGTTGAAACCGTTGTATAAAGGTTACATTTTTGTTGTGAAATTTCTAAATAGCTCATGAAGAATCTTTACACACTGAGTGGGGACGCCATGGCTGTCCAGCGCTTTCATGACTGTTCGCATCTCAACTGTGTCAAAAACAACCCATAAATCGATAGAAGTGAGCCAGAGCAGTCTTTCCTACTCTCGCGATACTTAAATGAATCTTGTTCTCGTGTGGATTTGGTCCATCGTACTGAATCCTTTTCGAAGCCCTGCTTGCTCACGTGGCTGTCTTTCGTCCAGTATTTTGTCCGTCCTTTTTAGGACGACTCCAGTGAAAAGTTTGTAGACAACAGACAGCTGATAGTTGCTGATATCGTGGAGGTTATCTTTCATTCTCAGGGGTAACATGTGAAGGGACGAGATAGTGTGTTAATGAGGACTGGTTGGAGGTTCTTCAGGTCTTATCTTGTTCAGATCTGATGGTGTTCGATTATTCGTCGACGAAACAGTATTTGGAACCAGAACCATCCTCCATTATTTTATATGAGGAAATGAGGATAAGGCTGTCAAAGAGCTCCAAGTAGTAATCGTGAATGATTGCCATTGCCTTTCTAAAAGCTATAAATTCCGTCTGAGCATCGGCATACAATCATCTTCATTTTGTAATTGGCAAAGTTTCGTTGAGTTCTGGGAAAACTTTTCCCAACCTCTGCAGCTTCTGTCATTACTGCTGCTCTTCTCACTTTAACACCTTCTTTTATCGCCTGTCTGCAATGTTTCGCAAACTCGGATGTGAGTCGGCGGTTGCTTGCAGCGTGTGATTGCATGCTGGCGTATCAGCTCGAGTGTTTCTGAAGACAGACGTCTCTTGGTGACCAACTCACAACTTTCATAGCGCTAACGTGAAGATGCTGAATAAGCCAATCGTATTTCTTGTCGGTGTTATCGAGAACGGCATTTTCCCTATATTTGACTAATAAACTGAATAAATCCGAGTTTATGGTGGTTTTGGGACTTCATTTTGAGTTTAGCGGTTTTTCCTTTTTTCCCCAGATATGAAATTTTGAACGAAGGAGGCGATGGTGTGATTCAGTGTAAAATTTTGTTACAATAGCGACTTTGGTTTGACGAAACATCCGATTTGGTATGATGTAGTTTATTTCGTTTTGGCGCTCTATATTGGGAGATTCCCACATTCAGTTTTGAGAGTGGGGCTTTTGGAATTGCGAGTTACCATGGATGGTTTTAACCGCCATAATAAACTCAGACAGCGGCTCACCCTGCTTGTTCCATTCGAATCCATGGGTCCCAATATGACGTTCTTCTGGGTCCAATCTTAGCGTTAAAACTTCAAATGATGACCTTAAAAAGCGTATACCTTTTAGAACGCCCCCGAGTCCATATAGAACGTTTCGAGTTCGTTTTCTTTATATCTTGATGTCAGTGCGTAGGCGAAGAAGATTGTCAAAGCTGGTATTGATCCACATCTCTTCAATGGTAAACGTTCGGTTCGGATTGTTAGTTATTCGAATGGATCGATGTACATGCCGAAACTCGTGTCAATGAGAACTCCGATTCCGCCGACTTCTCTACTGTCGCATGTTCCTAGGAAGCTTTCCTCCGGTCTCACATAAGGCGTTGAATGACCGGCGTCTTCTCGTCTCAGCCAGTCCGATTATGTAGTACCTTACCCTTCTTACCTGTACAATCAAGTCCTATATCGAGGACTCGATGCAGGTGTGCGTAAATTGTTGGTACAGATCGTCATCTTAGTTCTTTGTGGTTTAGGTACCTTAGAATGGCCATGAGAATTTAGCAGTCTCTCCGTACTTTTCCTAAGCAACGCTGCCGTATCGGGAGCTCTTTCGGGGTCAGGGGAATGAGGCGGGTCGTTTGATAGTCACAAATAGCCGAGCTCTAAAAATGTGAGGCCGTATATACTCTTGGCAGTTTCTCCCAGAGTAGACGGGGAGCTTATTTGTTGGAGGCGACTCCTAACCGCCTTCAATGTAGTTCCCTGTTACTTGGTTGGAGGTTTTTGGCCGAAATGAATCATAGAATACAATCCGCATAATCGAGAAAACACGCACGCACATACGCGTGCATAAACACATCCACGTAAATACAGAAGGTTTGTGCCAAAAAAAAAGCGCGGCAGAAACACCACCCCACGGATACACCTGCGTCCCATGGAAGCAAGGTCGCTTTTCGTCCGTGATTAACCCTCTATCTGCCACCTGGGAATGCGCCACGTTGCGTCACAACTAACCAGAATGAGGCCTCTGTTTGAAAAACATTGATACTGGTGGTATAACAAGAAAATTTTCTTTGTAAAACTCAATTCCACCTTGGCAGTTATAAAAGAAATTTGGATGCAACAAATAAAAAGTAGTCCAATATTGGCTGCATGGTTTCCGTTATCACCAAGATAAATGGTATTTGTTGCAACTTTATGTAACCTAAACTAAAACAACATTGTTAAGCATTACACTCGCAGAATTGTTAACAATACTGTTCAGAACAGAAATGTTAACTATATAATCGTCTACAAGAAACACAGCTAGATTTTATGGCTTCCACACATTGCTAACCTTATGCATATCCGTAACTCTCGTGGGGCTAGGTGAACAGCTATGTGGCAAGAACACGTTAGTGACGATCGATATCGGCTCACCAATTGGTGAAGCTGACGGAGCACGTCGACGTAATTCCTCAAATAGGTCAACGTAAGAGTTGTCAGAAAACTACAAAGCAACAAAAAAAGCACTAGCCACTGATTTTTCCAACGTTATGTCATCAAATCCACATGAAACTTGCTGCGAAGTCTTCACCATGCGTTCATGTTCAACCTGCCAAAAATACGTTTGTAGATCGCCAAAGATATAAAAAATTGTTTATGTGAGTCCTTCATTATTACTGATAGTTAAAAAATCTGTCGATGGTCAAAGTGAATAAAAATAAAGTGAATGTGGTGCATGAACATGAGAAACTTAAGGGAAAATAACAGGAAACAAATCAAAACTCAACAGCGTAAGCAATTTGTTAAAAAGGCTCCAAAAGAACATAAAGATAAAACTCTACCTCATTATTCAACGAACAGTCGCTTTCTCGACGTATGTTGGCGATTCGCCCTCGTGGAGCATCTAATGGTCGTGCAACGGGAAGGTTCGATTCTGGCAACTAAATGGAACAACCCTTTGTAATAATTACCATAAAAATTTCGCGTTTAAGGTTTCCAATAAATGTAAATTCCTGTAAAACTGTTAACTGTCAAAACCAACCCTGGTTTTACTCAATTTTCTAGCTATTGGCTCATCTCCATCCAATGATCCTCCTCCTACAGTAAGCTCGCTTCCATCAGAGTCACTTGATGATGAAGATAACTTTCGTGCAGAACGCCGAACACTAAAACAATACATTAAAAGGAATTCACCACATTGATAGATTTCTTGGCAAAGGATTGCTAAGTTCTAACTCATTTATTATCTGAAACTGATGTTCATAATTCTCCTAACAGAATGATTTCAATGATTTCTTCCTCTTCCAATCTGACTGGTCAATCATCATTTTATAGAAAACTATATGTTGCACGAAATGAGTGAGCATAGAAATATAAGAGCAAAGTCAACATTGGTCGTAAAACGTTCCCGAATGGCGAGAGTAACGTATTTGTATGACGGACCATAATAACACATAGTAAACAGCACCATACGTACCATCCATACCCATATGGATATAGCACAAGTCCTTTTCTATAAACCTGTCATCTTTCCAACCTGATAAGTCCTCTACCTATCAAAATATTGCCGTTTACTCTGGAAAAACCACCAGCTCCTTAACGACGTGAACCTAGGAGTCACATGCGACAGTCAAGCAAATTTGCGTGTGGTTGAGAACGTGTTAAAAACTTTACGTAAACAAAGTGGTCATTGTGGAAGTGTTACTAAGACGGTGATCCTCGAGATATGCTAGCTTGCGCATGTTGGGATGATAGTGCCAAGTTCCGACTTACATTAATCACTAATGATGCTTGAAGCTGGAGCGTAAATCAAAATATGAAATCAGGTGATTCAAATGTCACGTGTCTGAGCGACAACCTTTAGTCAACAGCCAACTGTGTCTTATTTCCACAACATGCCACGAACACACCAGAAGAACCGCCAAGCTTCTTCATGAAGACAGTGAACTGTAAATATGAATGACTTAGTGTTCCACAAACAAGCGGAACCTAATAAATAACGTCAGTATTCGAGAGACACTAAGGCAGATCTTACTAGCACCTGGTCGAATCATTTATGATCAGCGTCATAGTTTGTTTAGAGTCACATATAGCACGAGAAATCAGAAAACGAACCTCCTATTCAGCATACCGGATGTTTTGTCTTCAAGTCAATCGACAATATTTTACAGAAGAAGCCAATTCTCAAGAAACAGATTTGTTATTTTGCCATTCATGTTTTGCGGCAGAAATATATGTCAGCATAAAATTATTGTACACCTCGGTTATTCTTCCACTGCTTACCGCTTCACAGCGGATAGTCACTGAATGTCGGAGTGCAACTATAACGAGCAGTTCCATATCTCAATCTCAAAACCAGTCTAGCAGTAAAGCTGTGCTGGGAGTTGCCATAATTTTGGAAGAAACTTAGTTGCGCGGCAACAAATCCGTCTGTGATCCACAAAGAATGGGGACTGTTGTGGTGACCATGTGAGGACAGCACTAAAAATGGAGCTCTGACTCGAACGACTCATCATGAAAACGGACTATTCAAATATCAAGTTCAATAACCATACACCTCTACTTCTTAGAAAAAGCACTCTCTTCTCCATTAATACAATGGCAGCTAAATAATCACGGTTTCACAAATTACAAAGACATTTTTCATGATAGGTAATTCTATGTTCTAAGAGTAATACTAGGAGAGCACGTCCACACAGATCATCAGGACTACCTTACAATTTACATACCATTACTATAAAATATGATGCACATTTCTTTTTCTGCGGAGACATAAGGTATCACCACAAGTAACGTCGTCCTTTATAAACCGAAGATTTGCGACCCTTCGACTTTATTTCGCCCAGAATAGTAACAGCAAGCTTATTCTTAGCTTATGCACAGAAATGACGAACACCTCAACATGGGAATTGGGAAGTTAATCCTCCCAATTCTACATCCAAGAATACCTCATCGTTATCATAAGACGGCAAACGACTAATTGCACTCTGAGGTTAGTAACAAACACAATGTTTGTTAAATGGTTGATACAAGAGTTGCAGAGAATTTACACTTTTCCGAAAACACATGACTAACATGTGTCTTAACATTCCTGGAAAAAAAATATAGCGAGATGGATGTGTAGCTAATTCGTTCTAGTCCTAGCACGATATCAGCAGTTCAGGACAATAAATTGCACAGGTTACATCAACCTACTACACCTCAGCCACAGAATATGAATATGATGGTCGATCCTCTCGAAACCAATCAAATATGTGAAGGTAGTTCTTCTCAAAAACACAAGTAACATACTGGAAGTTAAACGAAACGACTCTTTGAAATCACCGAAATTTCTCGATTCCCTCGGAAGAAGACTCCTTGGAAAAAAACGATCCATCTAGACTTGAGCGGGAAGAAGTCTCCGAGTCAGCAATAGAATCTAAAAATGAGGAGATGATGAACAACAACAGATATAAAAGGATGAAAAGTTTTCAAAAATCACTGTTTAAGAGATCTGGACGAGGCAGACATGAGAATGTGTTCGGAGACGCTTGATTAAGATTGAGAAACCTAAAAGGATGTTAGGATAATCAACGACGCTTCACATTTTTCTCTCAAAAATGGGAATTGAGAACAAGTTCCTACTATAAAAAAACAACGAAAACCACAGAAAATCGCACTTACGGTGATTGACGAAGAAGATTAGCTTCAGTGCCTTCCTGCTCACTTATGAACGAGCAGTTCGAAGGGGCTGGAGAACAACCTTCAGAGGGTAGTTCCTTCTCAAATGCATCTGCAACACGGAAACCAGAATACATAGAAAATAAGAACATTGAGTTTGTATAGAAAATGGTGAACAAGATACTACGCACTAACAAATGATCAGCTACATAGAAAATGTAATGCTAACAAATAAAAAACACAAAAACAATTTTATGGGGATTTAAGCTTATCTATGACACATCCTTCACAAAATCACTCACTTGATGCCTCTGACGTCGGTTCGCCTACGACCACCGATATTGATGTACTCTCATCATTGAAATCGTCTGCCATACCTCCGAACGGCAAAAAATACAAGAACTCGCGTTTCTAACAAAGATTTGAATCTTCTGGATGAGGAATATGTCGTAACCCAACTGGGTGAGGAATCTGTCATAAGTCGCACAGGTCTACGGTTTGCTACGGAAGTACATTTGCATCCTCATGAACCCTAAGTACGAAAGCATAATCTGATTATAAATCACATACTTCGTAACGCAACATTCTAGTTGACAATGAGAACCAAAATCACAAAGGTTACAAGATCCCATGAAAACCGAGCCAATGCCGTTTTCACTAGAAATCCATTCGGCAGCGAATACTTCACGAAATAACGGAAGAATCAAAGCGGATGTGATAAAATATAAATAGCACTATTATTACTTCTCAAAACCACAAAAGACAATATAAGGGAAAATAAAGAAGACAATAAAACTTACACGAAAGGCAAAACCATAAGTATATATAGACTCGATCTAACCAGATGTACGAGTGTAGTGGCATGCCCCATTTTTTTTTCAATGGAGCACGCTTTCTTGCGGTGTTAAATCATTCTCACTAACACCCGAAGGGAGGAGCTTTCACCATTTCTATCAAGAGGATCGCCTAATGACAGTCTATGTCAAGGGAAATTGTCATTAAGTAAGGAAAATGCCTAGTTTCAATGAGGCAGACCTTTCTATGGCCTGATAACTGCCTGCAGCAACAACCTGAAAATATTCTATCACGACTATCCTGGGATTCCTGTGGAAAAAAAGACCCTACTCGACCAACAATGAAGTAGTTTCAGTTACACTCAAACAATATTACATCACGCGGTGTGAGACAAAGATCGATAATTGGAGAATATTTTTGTATTATTATTAAATGACTCGGGAGCGGATACCACAGTTCTACTGATGCCAATCATCACAAGCACGGTGCTGGTTCGATCCCGCTCTGGGCTCAGCAAGCCTCTCATCCATGCAGAGTCCGAAAACTTTTTCCCGGACAAGTTTGGGAAAAGCTCACTCTCTGCACTCCAAGTGGGAACGCTACAGCCCATCAACCTCAGGACCCCAGAGAGAATCCACACTTCGCGGACGATGGATGTGAGGAAACGAACAGAATGTAAGTGCTAGGATCCGCACAGTTGGTGTGAAGCACGGTTCGCATAAAAAATAAAAATAAAAAAAATTAAATGACACGTTGTGCGGATCCCAGCAGCCTCCATATTCCATTCGTTTCCTTGGATCCGCCATTTACGAAGGTCTTCAAATCCTTTCTGTATGGCTTCCACTGCTGTTTGTGGACTATCTCGTATGTGTCACGAACGTGGCTGAACACAGGTTGATTCGATTCTTCTTGACATCCTGAGATACTAGAACTAGCTGAGAGACAGGCGAAACGAAGGATCCGCATGGTGTGGTGGTGAACGCGTTACTCCCCGGAAAGGACAATAGCGCATTCGTTCGCCACCGCAGACACCTGCGGTCCGGAGTTTTGCAAATATCTCAGCATCATTGAAATCCTGAGATAGTCATGCTAAGGTGTTCCCTTGTGGATTAAAGAGATTCAGCTTGTTATGGACAAGTCTGGTACCAATTTCCCGACGCCAGCGGGATGCGAAGCTCAGTGAGCCCGGAGTGAAATCGGACCAGGGACTGGGTAGTTTTTGTCGCTCACGCAATGAACTACCACTGCGTTAGCCGGCTCAGAGTACTAGTACAGGCTAGTCACCTCTTAGCAGCCTACACAACCTCATCACAGGTGAGGTGAATATTCCCTATAATTGCGACCAAAAGAAGAGATAGAAGTAGTCATCGAGGTTGCCCCCGTACTACAAGTCGTTTTAGTCAATCCCGACGAACGTAACAAATGTGAATCCTGGGAAACCAAATAACCTGTCGGGTCAAAAATCCCTAGGCATTTCAGTGGAAGAATGCAGACTTCTCAGGAAAGGGATAGTAATCCACTGGAAGTTTATAGCACATGGAACAGTCTCAATGACAAACTGTGAACGGAGCCACCATGAAGGACGTCATTGCAAATGTAAGAACTTTCGAAATCCCTCACTAGGCATCTAGAAATTGAGACCACACAGCGCAAAGCAAGCAAACCATTTAAAAGAACCATCTGTGTACAATTTAATCAGTTTTTATTTACTGCCTATTCTTTCTCATGGCAGGATATGATGTGAAATATATCTTCCATACCTTTTAAGATTAGATCCGCGTGGCAAAATGTCAATCCTCATCGGGCATAATTGGCCAGATTTTTAGGAAAAAGTCAGGGCACTGTGCTTTGAGCGCTCCCCATCATCCCAGTCACCCGGAAACCATACACCAGGACAATTTACACAATGACCTTGTAATTCCACCTATAAAATTTCAGTATGGAAGTGTCCTTAGATGGACCAATAAACACCCATTAAAAGAACAAAAGCTCTCGGCGTTAATCAACCCCGGGGGATGCGCCATGCATTCGACTTCATTAAGCATCGTTGGAGATGATTGAATGCAAATCTGGCCTTTATAATAACTTGCGGTGGCCTACCGATGTATCGGACCAGGGCTGCTATATTCCCAGGCAGGTCGGGTACCAATCTGCTGACTCCAGAGAAATAGAAGGCTTGGTGAGCCATGGGCGCGGGAATCGATCCCATTTTTGTGTCGCAGGGCGCTTCCGACCACAGAGCCACATGCGACTTTTTTTAAACAATTACTATTCTTTGTAACTATTTTAGTTAGTTGGTGGATAGCAGCCGCAGAGAGTAATACATAGGCGAGGAATTACTATTCCACTTACTGTTACTTTATACTAAACACTCATTACCATTCCGAGACATCGACTTTTGCTCAAGTTCATAATAGCCCGCCTGTCTCACACCAAGATCCTTCCAGAGTATCTACATCGCGCACAGCCAATCGCACATATGTAATGAAGCCATTCGATGCTATCTCACTCTTACACAAACGTCTTGGATGAGGTCGCAGTACAAGGCATTCCTGAGCTGCTTATAGAAGATGATGAATAAATACCTATGGCTTATAGACTCAACAGCTCATAACTTGCTTAGAGAGGTGTCTTTAGCTGTTTAATCTTTAGGTTGGCAATGGTGCAACGATTGGCACCATTGTCTTTATCTCTAAGGTTGAAGTCTTAGTTCTCAATCGTCGTCTTTTACTCTACTGCCGATATATAGATGGAATGAGCTGTTGAGACGTAGTGCACTGCTGTAGTTGATTGCTTTTCCGTTTGTCCTACAAAAGAGGAAGTAGACAAATACTTGAGTTGTTGAATGGACAGTTATAGCATATGAAGTTTAAACGAGAAAAGCCTAAGGAAAACTGGCTTCCGTTCTCAACCGTTCAAATGCACCTTTCCGAAAGTGCCTGCATTAAAAAGTTGTTGTCAAAATCCAAGTAATAAAAACATAGCAGTGCATAACATCTCTTCTTAGTCCTCACATACGAGGAAAGGAATTGCAGAGGAGGAGAAAGAAAGGAGTCACTACGCTAGGCACGATAAGTAACTATATCAAATAGGTAAGAAACGGCGGCCACTAAGGTCATGTCAAAAACGAGACCTACGCCCCATAACTAAAATAATACTATCCTAAACGTAGAGAACATCCCTTTAATGCTATTCTTCATATCAAACGAAGTAAGCAGCGCTATTCAGAAGATTCTAAAAAGCAGAGGTCAGGAGAACTCTGTGGCAGTAATAGAAACTCTCCCTAGGACTAAACTTGGTCATTTGCTTCGGAACCGCTTGTATGAGTGTCTATCTAAAACAGAGGATGGCGTCAGCTGCCCTAACGGTAGAGACCAAGGCTGTATAGGTTCAGGTACAATATATCAGGTCTCTTGTAAGACATGGGGTATTCAATACATTGGCGAGAAGGGTTAACCACTTTGTGTCCGCGTGAGAGCAGACTTAGAAGGAATGTCGACCACTGCACCAAGTACTCCTCTAGGTACAAATAAACAGTACAACGGTGACCATTTTGAGGTAGTAGTTACAATTCCCTCTCAAAGGAAGCTTTACAGTCTGGTAGGTGTTCCTCGGTGTCGGATTGTGATATAAAGCAGGTGCTCACCTCACAGCAGTGTCTCCCAAGCTGAGAAGAAGTCCGGAGTTTCCATGTGGAAGCCAAGATAGGAGTAAACGAACGCCAGAAATACCACCGTCCTGGGTCCTGGCACAAAACCAGCCGCAAGCTGGCAAACCTCCCTCTGATCCACAACGGCGGCGACTGCCTGGGGTGGTGACGATCTGAGGAAGGATTCCGCTAGATGGACCTCAAGACTCCAGTGAACCACATTGGCTAAACGATCACATCTCCAGCCTCAGTACACTCACACTAGGTGCTCCCGTCTGCGACATCGGGTGGTGGGAGAACCGGCGATAGGGTATCAAATCTCAGGTTGCATAGGACGTCATCGGAAATGTACAAAATGAGGATGCCCTCGACATGACGATGGATACTGCTACTTGCTGTCCATCTATAACGCCAGAACAATTTCTTCAGATGCCGACCGTTACGCTCTTCTTGAAACCACAGGTCGTATCAAATTCCATATGATCACCCTAAAAGAGGTGAAGAGCAGGAGGACCGACATACGCCAATTAGGTGACCGAACCCTTGTCATTCGTGGAGGAAAATTTCCATTACGAAATGTCGGGGATCTTGGTTTTATCGTATACCCATCCATTTCCTATCTTTTCACCTCACACGATACTCTCACCGTGCTTGGCCATTCTTCGTCCCACAATTTGCGCGTCAAAAGAGGCTCAGTATCATCAATTTTTAAGCCACAACTAGTACAGATGATGGGAAAGAACTGAACGCGCTCTGCAAACAGTTAGAGGAAATAGCCCGTAACCAGACGTCCTTCTATAAATTCCTTGTTGGAGACTTCAATGCCATGCTGGGAACGGCCAACGAAAAGGTGTATAGGATGCGAAAATTCGGAATAAGGGAGCCAAATGCTAATGGAAACCGTGTTGTAGGAGTCACATCTGCAGCATGT